ACAAAAAAAATACAAAAAAAGAACGTAATAGGGATGCCTCATGGCACGTCGTCTACTCATTACTGAAGGAATCTAGCTCGATAGACAACAACAAATAATGATATATAAATCAAATCATCCGATTCCTAGACCGAATCCACTTGAAACACCGAAATTGCCAATGGGAGTTCCGACGCCGACCCCGTTGCTTATTCCAAAACTGAAAAGGTTACTCAAACCGCTCAAACCACCACCGCCGAAGGACGGAAATGAACCAGCAGAAGCGGGTCGATAACGCGGTTGTCTGAAATGCCGGCATAAAATAACTTGGAGTAACTGCAGTCTCGCTAGCTGCAGAAGATGGGGTGTGTCAGAGGTGTCGATTTGGCGCGGCGCCGAGCCTGTTTCTTTTTTTTCCTTTCGGCAAGCGGCGAGACTGTATCATACCGTTTGAATCAGTTGTTTTCCACTGATTGTTATCGCTATACCCGCTTCAACAACAGAATGGGTTCGCGGCGCGCCAAACCCAGCCTCACTGACACGCCCCTTCATCTGCAGCAAACAAGACTGTACTTAGTGTGATGATGGTTGATTTTTTATGAATACCACGAATTCGTTTTCAAAATCATGGTGTTATTTATTGTTGATTCCGGCAGAGTGGTCAGAACGGGTAGAATGGCCCCACCCTTTCTATCACTGCAGGTAATCTACCCAACCCGACCACTACACGTAGGAAAGCCAGGCGCGGTTGGGCTCATTCCACGTTTCACGGTAACGTCACATTGGAGCGCGACGCCACAAAGTCATGATATCAGCAAACGATAGGGCGTAGGACGGCGTTGTGTTTTGAACCGCAGTCAGAACAGCCTTTTCGTCCAGTTGTAGCGGGCTCAGTATGCCATCATTGTTGCAGCAAGGCAGCCCTGGCTGCTCTGCGATACGCGCCGCGTCGCGCACCATGTCGGTTGCAGGGACGACTGCATGCTGGTAGGATGCACAGCTTTACGGAGACCACTAGGTAGACAGACCACAGCTTTCATCTCCGTACTA